AGTACTCCAACCGCTTCTGTACAAACTACTCGTACTATGAAAAGAAGTTACAAACTGTACAATAAACACCGTCTCTTGGCCAACTTTGGACAGTGGAGTATTAATATGATAATAACCTTCGCAAAGAAGGTTAAGTTTTTTCATAGCGTTTGTATGTGTGTATGTAACGTTACGTGGTTTAGTACGAAAATCCAAGAAGCATTAGATGGATTGTCATGAAACTTGGTAGGTGGGTAGGTCTTGATGAAACTTAGAAGTGATTAGATTTCAGGCCCCCTGGTGGCATTCCTACGTACTGAAACAAAACTTCCGGTTCTGATATCTCATGATCACGAATTTTAGATGGTAGATAGCTCTTGGGCTAGGGAAGAAGTGATATTAGTTTGAGCCTCCTAGCAGCTTGCTCTGGAAGTTCAGGGCAGTTGAATGTTTGAGGGAAGATAACTCAAGAACCGGCTGACGGATTGACATGATTTTTAGGATGTAGGTAGATTAAGTGACGCTTGACATAATAAGATGATAATCATGTAAATCAGGAGCTAATTTATATAATTCAAGAGGAATTTCTATAAATCTTCCGTATTCGATATTAGGCCCATGGAAAACGTGTGACGTATGTAATTGAGAATGAGAGTAAAATCTGATAGATTATGTTAATGAAGACCTAATTTTCACAATTAATAACAAATTGTTCTACCTTCATAGTCGGCTAATCCAAGATCAGGGTGACATCCTGTGCTTTTATATTGTAGATATTCATTGCTGTTTAAACTTATCCAAATACAAGTATTCTCCAGATAATTCTGAAGCTTTTTGGTAGATAGCTGTTCAAAACATTATGCTGGGACCATCTTTATGACCAAAATTGCCATAAACTTTACGTAATACTGTTGCACTTAAAAAATAAGCATTTTTTAAATAAGCTATTTGTATTTGGTACGTTCTGACCAAAAATGAAATTAAGTTAAGACTGGCTCTATCTACTGTCAGTAATATGTTTTGCTGATATGATAATTTGAAAAACCGTCTTTCCTAGAGTGCCGTTAACAATATGTATTACACGTTAGGCCATGTTGAAATGATAGACATAACTTACCATGTTGTAGTGTCCGTAGAGATGTGTAGTGTCCGTAGAGATGTGTAGTGTCCTTAGAGATGTGTAGTGTCCTTAGAGATGTGTAGTGTCCGTAGAGATGTGTAGTGTCCTTAGAGATGTGTAGTGTCCGTAGAGATGTGTAGTGTCCGTAGAGATGTGTAGTGTCCTTAGAGATGTGTAGTGTCCGTAGAGATGTGTAGTGTCCGTAGAGATGTGTGGTGTCCGTAAAGATTGTATGCCATATAAGCAAAACATGTAAGTGTAATAACATGTTTGTAACAATGTTGTGATTTGTTGTAAAGAAATGTGTACCCTCCTTTTAGTTCTGTAACGTCATTTCACATTTGAAACAAATCATTGGGGAACACAACGAGTTTACACCCTGATCTTGGAATAGCAGAATGGTAACTGTCAGGCAGCTCATACTGTCAGGCAGCGCATTTGGAAGGTAAGTGAAGGTGAACATCAATAAACATAATTAATTCAAACCATAACCTGCTAGAATACGTAACAGTGCTAGAATACCCTTGCCTGCTAAGATAAGGCTGTCATTGGGTGGAGAATATGATCAACTGATATAATCCACGATGGAAATGAACTTTCATGAAAAAAATGCATAATTTCGTCATTCGGAATGGTTAACATCATTTGGCGAAGGTAAAAGTAGTGAAGCATGCACCAATCTATACCAACTTATATCACACACAAGGTCTCCGGCATCTTAATTAGATTACTGAGCTCCTTGTAAGCTGTGACGTTTCTTACAGTGTTTTTGTTGCAAACAATTTTTTTGTAACGAAACGGTCACGATGACTGTTGGCATGCGGGTGGAAATCAAGATTTTGAGCTCCCTAGCGCTGCATTCTGGTACTGCAGGGATTGTAACTCGGGTACAGAGGTTTTGTTTGTGTATGTGTGTGCATGTATGTATGTATGTATGTATGTATGTAGGGGCATCATCACTAGAAAGCTTTAAACAACTCCTGCAATTAAATGTGCAAAGATTGAGTGTGTGTGTGTGTGTGTGTGTGTGTGTGTGTGTGTGTGTGTGTGTGTGTGTGTGTGTGTGTGTGTGTGTGTGTGTGTGTGTGTGTGTGTGTGTAGTATAAGCTATACCTCCTCGAAAACACAGGCAAAGAGATGTTTCTCTGTTTGGGACAGAATTCCGGATCTTTGGAAAGGTGACATGAAACATACACCACACCCGGACTACTCGCGTGTGCGGGAACTACTCCCGGCAAACCGCGACCAGTGCGATTGAATTTATATTGCAGCCCTTCTGTGAACTGACACAAAAAGCGGACACAGACACTGAGACAGTGCCTACATTTTACTTCTATGGGTCTTCTATTATCCCCACCGGGAGATCAGATCAGAGTTGAAATGTGTTCTTGCTGTGGCCTAATGTGCGGGTCATTTGCATGAAGGGATATCGAAATGAAACCTTGCCAAAGGATAGGACAGATATTGAATATATGTACGCTAAGTTGAGAAGACCTAGATTATTTATTATGCAAATTACAACGTTATTTTCAAAGCCAAAGACACAAATCTAAGAACATTTACAGAAGCTCTAAATATTTCATGGAGACATGAGGTCTCCGAATTCTTGTCTTTTAAGTAGTCTTACTAACGGTATACCTCATTTTTTTAAACCATCCAGAAAAATTAACACAGAGGAAATATGAAATTTAATGTGCAGGTCGTAAGTCCTGATTTACACAATTTGGCTTACACCTTTGGACGTTTAAATTTTTTTCTGATATAGGATTTAAAAGTTATTGTATTCTTTACCATTTTCTGACTAATAATGTATAGTTTAGACTCCTGAGACCTGGTATTAAACGTAAATGACCTAAAATTTAGTATGAGGACAGATTCCCCCAGAATATTATTGGTCTAGAAATGATTTTGAAAATAATTTCAAGGCCTATATAAAAGAAAACTAGATCCGTCAACCGGTTCTCGAGTTATCCTCTTTTGAATATTTTCAAACAGATAGCACTGCAGTTCCAGTTCCTAAACTCACGTCACTTCTTCCCCAGCACAAGAGCTACCGACCATCCAAATTTCATGACCCTAGCATGTCTAGGTCATGAGATATCAAAACCGGAAGTTCAGCTGCAGTACCAGAACAAGCCGCTAGGGGGCCCAAAATGTTATCATTTCTAGGTCTCAAGACCTACCCACCAACCAAGTATCATTTCAATCCATTTAAGCCTTCTCAAGTTATCGTGTCCACAGACGGACGGACACACACACACACATACACGAACGCCTCTAACCTCTTGGCGAAGGTAATAACGTTATGTCATCCTGAACTTACCTTAGATGATGTGGCCAGATGATGAAATCTATGACATCTATCACGGTTTAAAAACGCCTCACATGCTAATTATGGAGTTGCAAGTGAATATATTACATCCTACTGTATGGCTTGAAATAATCAGGTGTACATTTGTCCTATAAAGTAAGCGGTGGTTTTACGGTTCTATTTTGAAGACAAATTGAGTGAGTCACGAAATAAAGTTGGTTCCGCTACAGCTACCCGTACTGGATGTACTGATTTTACTTTATGCAGTTTTGCTACCAATCGCTAGTAGTCTCTCTTAGACAGCATCTAATGGCGCAATCGAATTTCATTCAGACAAATGATGATGATGTTCGTCCATCGCAGTCGATGATGACCCCAACTTCAGTCCTTGTGTGTCCGGGTGTGGCTGACGAGCCCAATTCTAGCCCGGAAGCACCTGCCGCAGACGTCACACTTGTGCTCAGGTAGTGGTTGCAGAGACGGGTTTTTCTCCCTCGCCTTTCAAATAATAAAAATAAAAATAAACTAGATAGAAATATTAGCGGTTGCTAATATAGACAGGTTCGCGTTGTAGTGTAAGCTAAATCGGCTAAGATTGCACAACGGACGTGCCCCATGACCTTCGACCTTTTGGGGGTCATGCAGGCGTCAACAGCGCCCTCCCCACGCCTCGCCCGTCCGTTTTCGTGGGCAAATTTCTGCTTTTTTTTAGAGGTTTCGGGACCTAAAAACTCACACCAGGGGGAGAAATAAGCCACATACGTTATTTTCATGGTAAACATCGCTAAAATGGACCAGCTAATTATCACACCGAACGGCTTGTTACACTCAATCTTTGCACATTTGATTGCAGGAGTTGTTTAAAGTTGAACACACCACAGCTTCAAGGCCACATACTCGCCGCACATACTCCTGTTTACC